GACCAACGACACTAACCTACGGTATGAGTGTCTACGATCGTCGATAGTATAGTAACCCAACAAAAGGCTGGGGTCGTGTCCCAAGGAAGTGGTTTTGAAAATTGATAGAAAAATAAAATTAAGCTCTAACTAGTCGTAGCTAAAGACATTAACGAACAAACACATGGTAAAGTAAAGGGGTGACACAAAAGTGTCAAATATCAATTGGGGGTTTTGTCACAAGTAGTAAAAACAACAAAAATAACAAGAAAATGAAGTATGGGTAAGAATTCTTGGGGTGTGACCGCAATACAAGTTGAGATAAGTAGTTGGGTACATGCTTTTGAAAGGAAATTTGTAAGATAATAGTGACTAGGCTAAGCTTTAAATGGAAATAAGTTCCCTCTCGGGCAACTTACCCCGTTTCAAATGTGTTCCTCTCGGACACCCATTTACTGCATGAAGACCAGCCTACGCCTTACCCCACTCACTCTCTCGAGCTAAGTGTTAAGATATAAGACTAGGGCTCACCCTCTCGGGCTGAACCTTATGTTGACCCATTCCTTAGGCCATCAGTCTAGTGGTCTTGGTTTTGCGACCTCCCTCTCAAGCAAGCCGAAAATACATGGGTGGCTTTGTATTTGCAACTACAAACCCTTTTGGTTAAACCACAACCACTAGGTGAAATCACCATTAAACTACATCTAACTTATCAGCAAGCAAGACCCAACAATAATATCAACACATATTTGCTAAATCACACCCCAAGATAAGGGTTTTTAGCCACACATCATGAAATAACAAAATACACCTAAAATGATAGTGGAATCAAATGGGTATAAGAAATTAAACTTGATTTAAGCAAAGGAAGAAGAATGGAGAAGACCCACTTCCAACTTGGGGAAGATAAATTCCTTCTTTCTTCAAGTCTCCCAAAAACTCTCTCCAAACTTGAGAGAAAATATCTAAAAAAGTACTATTCTATTCTGAAAATAATAATAATGGTTCGCAACTTCTAAAATTAATAACAAGTTTAGTATTTATAGACTTCAGAAAATAGCGCTGGCAGATCTTTCGGCGAAGTTAGTCGATGCCGCCGAATGAGTCGGCGACTCGTCCTTCTTCTGTTTTATCGTCGTTTCATCATTGCCTTCAGCATCTTCACGGTCTGGACCATTGGGCGGTATAGTACTTCTTCGCGGAAATATTCGGCGAAGCACCAACTGCTCCTTTTATCGCCAATTTTATCCTTCTCCTTCAGGGCTTTGCGTACTGGAACATAGTGCGGAGTGAATCCCTTCGGCGTATCGCCAAGTGTGCTTGGCGATGCTCAGGCTTCAGCTTCTTCGTTCTTTTCAGCCTTTTTGTTCCTTTTTGCGCCTAAGTGTCCATGCTTTTATAAAAACTTCAAATACCTGAAACTTAAGAGCTTTCATCAGATATTAAGACAAAATAAGCATTCGAGGACACTATTCTTATCAAAATAAAACCCTAAATGAGTCCAATTTGTGGACTCATCAGCGACGAGGTGCATCATAACATAGATATCCCTTTTGTGTGTCACTGTAGCCCACAAAAATACATTGTGCTACCTTTGTTGAACGATGTTGTAGTTCTGCAGGAAAATGGACAAAGCAAGCACAACCAAAAACTCGCAAGTTACAATAATCAGGCTTCTTATGAAATAATTTGAAGTATGGTGCCTCATTAACAATAACTGGGGAAGTTTGTCTATTACTCAAATACACAGAAGTATATGGTGCTTCAGGCCAAAAACTCTTAGGCATATTAGATGTGCCCAATAAAGCCAATGTAGTTTCCAAAACATGTCATTTTTCCTTTCTACGACTCCATTTTCTTTCGGAGTATGAGGACAAGTGCGTTGAGAAATAATTCCTTTATTTTTAAAAACTCAACAACTCTCATCCAGAATCAGAACGTAATATTTTTATAGTTTTATGAAACTATGTATACACATACTCAATAAAATCATAATATGACTCGAACCTCATATTAGTTTTGAATAAAAAATACCCATGTGTATCTAGATACATGATCAATAAAACAACATAGAGTACTTATATCCATCCTTGACAAAAAAGGAGAAGGACCCTAAATAACATTATGCACCAAATCAAACATATCGTCATAAGAAGATGAACTATATGGAAAAGGGAGCTTGTGACTTTTCGAACCGGTAAAATTAGAACATGTCAGAGGGAGACTATAATGAATGTCATTTGTTTCTGGAAGACATGATTTGAGCATATGTTGAAGTCGAGAGAAATGAGGATGACCCATCCTATTATGCCAAAGAATGAGGAACGTATTCGAGCGAGTAACATCTATGGCAGAAACCGAAAGAAAACAATGATGCAAATGATGATGAACCGACTCTAAAAGAAAAAATCTGCCAACTCTATGCCCCTTGGCCATGGTTATGCCAGTTTTCAGATTTTGAACAACACAATCATTGGGTGAGAATTTTACAACACAATTTTGATCAACTAGCTGACCTATCAAAACCAAATTAGCCTTCAAATTAAGTACATAAAGAACGTTAGACAAATTTCCAACAAAACCAATACCCGAGGCGGGCAATGTATGCCTGTTTTTCGTATGAATAACATGTTTAGAAACATCATCATATAATGAAGAAAATTGGGACAGATCTCTGGTCATATGATTGGAAGCACCTAAATCTAGATGCCAAGTAGATTTGATATAATTACGTGTACATGAGGATGCCGAGAGTGCACTTGAGATGGCTCCGAGAAGAGCAGTTGCTATAGAATCTCAAATCAACCTTTCAAGATCATGTCCAGAAGCGAAGGAACCAATTGATTTAGTGGCATCCGTCTGGTATGCTTGGTGAACAGGTCGTGAACGACTTGGACGACGACGACAGTCCGAAATATGATGGCTAGTAATCTTGCAGTAAGCACAGAACTTTTTCTTCTTAGGACAATTGGCAGCTATGTGACCAATTCGTTGCATTCATAGCACTAGACACTTCTCTTAGAATTTCCTGATAAAGTACCAATAGTTGATTTTTGTGCAAGTAATGCAACAACGGGTAATTGCATCGACTCCATGGCCGCTTGAGTTCCAAGCCTGGTCTCTTCACGCAAGACAGCCGCCAACACAACATCAAGAGTAGGTGTGACTTCTCTGTTCAACAAACTGCCACGAATCGACTCGAATTCAGGTCGGAGTTTCATCAAGAACTGTACCATCCTTGTCCTTTGTCGTTCTCCCTACACTTCCTTGAGCCCTGTCGTAGATATAGTTCGCCCAAAAATTTGATCATGTTCAGACCAGAGCAGCTGCAAGCCAACTTAAAAGGAACAAACAGTATTGTCCCTCTGTGTATATTCGACAATGTTGTGTTCCACTTCAAACTCTCGTGCTCGATTTCTTTGTTGGTAGACGTTACGCAAGTGAAGCCACATCTCTAAAGCACAAACTAAACTGTCTAAGTCACATAGTGATATCAACATGTACGGAATTTAGCATCCAAGCGGTTACCTTCGAATTATTCAAATTCTAGCGACCAAACTCTTTTTCATCCGTTGGCAGACCAGCAGAACCATCTAACCACCCAAAAAGGCCCTTTCCTTGAACAAAAATTCCGAAGTGGAATTCCCATAGAGAAAATTGGAACCATCCAAATTTGTGGAGAGCAAATTGTGTGAGGATGATTGTGAATTTATTGAGTAGACAAAATACAACAAAGAAAGAGGAAAAAAAAGGGGACAGATGCTTGTGCAGAGAAAACAAAGAGACAAGAGGAACGCAAGAAGGTAACAAGGTACCTGTGTAGAGAAAGCAAAGAGCACGGATTCTTTTTTTAAAATGATTGGCTCTTGCTACCGTGCTAGAAAGACATAAGATATTCTGAAAATAGGTTTCTCTATTCATCCATGATAGAGTAGAAAGCAAATATTTATAGTAATACAATTGTAGGGTAAGAGTTCTATTCTAGGAAGGAGTATATATGGTTATAATTGTATATTCTGTAAATCAATCCTACTCTAACAAAGAATATAGTTTCTTATTACTATACAATTATAGCTTTTCCTAACAAGAAGTATTTCCTTATATCATGTAAAAACATCTCTCTTTATTGAAAATTTAGGTACTCCGCCGTCACCATATTACTAACAAGGTAGTAAGCAGACCAAGGAATAAGATCAAGAGTAGTGGCTATTACCTGCTCATCTGGAAATAAGTCATCAATTTCTAGCTCAGCATCATCTCTTTCTCTGCCTATTGCCTAGATAGTTGATCAACTACTTGGTTTTCACAACCCTTTATGTCGTTGAGCACAATGTCATGAAAGAGGAAAGGAAGGTCATGTGCCCCTAAGACACATTAAAAGCGTGATCGGACAAACACATAAGCTATGTCTGTAAAAGCTTCAACGAATCCCGACAGGTTTACAGTGGGAACACATAATGATATCTCTAAATGGAGTGCTTATATTGGACGTCGTACTATAAGGCGCAAGTGGAGCATTCTCTAATTAATTAGTTGATGTATTTGATTTATTGTCCATAAATAGTTGTTTCCATTCACTTGTAAATGATCGTATTTTTGGGCAATACTAAGCAATATATTGTTATTCTTACTCTAAGGTTATACTCTTAAGAACAAAACGCAAAGATCTCTGATTGCAGAGATAACAACATGAGGTATTGTATCCGGGATCGAAGTTGAAGCAAGAATACTTGGATTTTACCGTTCCATTCATTTACTAAATTACTTTATTAGCTTATTTAACAACATATATATAGATCTAATTGCATAATCTCCAATTTACAAGTTAAATCGATCCACGTGTTCTTAACTTCGTGACAAATTCAACTATATCAATTTTCAGATAAACAATGATGTCCCCAATCGACCTAGTCATTAATTGATTTTTCCATTACCTTTGCAACATAGCATATGATTATTAATTGTTCAAATTAGGAGGCCATTCATATATGAGAAACTTGAAAACCAAATGGAAATGATAATGAAAGAAAAATTCAAGACGAGTAATTATAACGATGAAATTCAAATAAAGATAGATGTATGGATCCATATAAGTAGGATCCGTAATACAACAAGCAATTTATGACACATTATTTTTATTTTTAGTAATACTAGACTAGAGTGTGTAATAACTCCAATGGGACATACCAAAAGACAAAATGAAAGTGACAACAAGAGATGCAACAAAACACAAATTGATCCATAAAGTAGGATCAAAGATGACCACAGCTTATTCTTCTCCTCATAATAATTGCACTTGTACCAAATTGTGCGGTGTAAAATTGACTATTATCAACCTTAGGTGACCCTGCATCACAAAATTGAACCACCAAACATTAATACTATATCTCATAATATGGTCCTATATATATAAATTGTTAAGAAACATTAAAGTAAATTAGCACCAAATTAATAGTGAAGCAATTTGCTTAGAAAGAACAACTAGATAATACCCTTTCAACTATTATATATTTCAGCATTTGATAAAACATAAAATTTTAAGAATAAAAGAAAGATTATTGGCATATACCAAAAAATTACCTTAGACTTTGGGTTTTAAACATGCCTAACATTTTTAATAGTTATAAGAATATATATTACTCCATTAGGGATAAAATAAGGTGTTGAACCTGGAATTCTAGTTAATATCATGTGAATTGTTGAAACTCTTCTTATAGTCCAATTAAGTAAACTATACAAATTTCAAGAAAATTGTTGTCGACGTTTTTCCATGTTAGCCTTCATTCAGTGGGGTTCTTAACTACTTTACTTTTTTCTAGGAGAATAATTTAAAAAGTGACGTGAAAAGTAAGCATTTTATTTATGTATAATACATAAATATACCCTTTAACTTGAGCTCAACTCACAGTTAAGCCCTCCAACCTTGAGCATGCATAAGTAAACACTTAAACTTGTATAAAGTTAAACAAACAAATTGATACACACATCCTACATGACAATTGGCATCCTGCGTGATGTCTTACATGTATTATGTCATGTAGGACCCATGTCCATGTGTCCACTTGTTCAATTTTATACAAGTTCAAACGTCTGATCTACTTGTGCACACTTAAAATTGGAGAAATTAAGTTGAGTTAAAGACCATATTTATATATTATAAAAAAAGAATGATATGAGAGGATTTGATAAAGGTATACTTGGAGCAGTCAGTGGAAGGACTGATCTTATAGGGAATGTTGACGCCACAAGTGGAAGGAAGACCAGCAGCTTTGCTGTAATTGATTCCTGAAATAGCACCCGCTGCTGATTTAAGGCAAGTGCAGGCAGTTTTACGATCTGGTGTGCTCTTTGCGGCACTCGCCAAATTCCTAACTCCACCGCAACAACCTCCTAAAGCTGATGTGCCTCTAAGGTAACCAAGGCACGGGATTATAAAGCTCGTCACTTGCCCACAGTTTAGGGCTTCGGTATGGGCTATCACCATGCACAATACCACAAAACATGCAATTTTTCCAGCCATTGAATAAGATGTGGAAAGAAAGATATGAAATGTATAGTAAATTATTTAACGAAGAGTACACAAGTGTTGGGTGCAAAATACACTTAGACCTAATTGGGATTTTTATAGGTAGAAAAATTTGAATTTGATTGGAGTATTTATTAGTTGGTAGTTGAGTTATGTTTAATGCTTTGAAATTAGGGGAATTGCATTGAAGGGAAGTAGTTGGCATAGATGATTACACTAAGTATTACTTTATTTTTAATTAGAAATCTCAATATCAAATTCTGTACGGACTTGTATTTATTTAGAAAGTGTTTTACCCCTAAGCTCCATTTCCAAGAGGTGAAACCATATCTTTGTTTTATCTTGATTAATCATTAGCGCTAGTATTATATTTTGTTTTCATCTCATTACTCACTCAATTTTGCACCATATTTCTTAAACAACTCAAAGAATTACAAAATCATTATTTATTCATTTGACAAATGTTTCCACGTATGTTCTCCTAAGTATATATTAACCAATACCAATATATATATTCTCAATTCAATTAATGACTGTAAAACTAAGAAGACAATATGTAAGTTAAAATGGAGTCAATATGTCTCTGTTGCTACTATCATAATAATTTCGAGGAGTTAATTTAATAAAATATCTTTTATTGGAGAAAATCATCAAAACTAAAGTACAAACTTGAATCAATGAAATATTAAAAGTGGAAAAATTTAAGAGAGAGAAACTATAGAACTGAAAACTTCTTCGGTGTGGTTTGGCAATAATTATATTATGAAAAAAGTTAGTAACTAGTGTTTGGTCATATAACTTGTCGTTTCTTGGCAAATATATCTAGCAAATCTAGAAAAAACTAGAATTTAGGCCAAATTCTAGCATTTGAGCAGTTTTAAAAAATTTAAAATTATCCCAAACTTTTACACTTTATAAAAACATCCATTACTATCTATTAAATCTTAATTAATATTTATCTATAACCAACTCCATTAAAAGGAGAAACTTATTTTTAATGAGTTATAATTTAGGCGAAATGATGTGAGAGAACTTTATACTTGGCTCTGTTTGGAAATTGAATCCTTCTACTTACTACTTTTCCTCCCCCTCCCCCCTCCTCCTGTTCTCTTCCCTAATTCTCAAGAAAAAGAATACCATTCTTACTTGGTAGAAAAACTATTAATGCAATTCAATAAGAGGAAGCAAAAAAAGGAAGGTCCACTCCACAGTACGATCAAATCAACGACAGATTGCACTTGTACGTTGTGCTACCTCAATAATGACTATCGTCATCCTCGCTCCTATATATTTTACCACTCCATCTATCGGTGTTTGGCCCCGGCCAACGGCTTATCTTCACCTCCTTTCCAGTTACGTCATGTTTGGAAAGTCACTCTGGTAATTGAATTTGGTGTATCTGTTTAATTATAATGTTCGACATATATGATTGGCTATATAATTACATGATTAGCAGGTAATTAGGTGTAATTGATAGGGGTAATTACGCTCTCCAATTTTCAGGGAGGAGCTGTGAATTGTTGGTAATTACCCGATGCAATTACTAGTTGAGTAATTTTTAATTTCTTCTTTTTATTTTTTAAATTTATTTTTAGTTCTATTATTTTAAATTTATCATTATTATTCGGAAAATAATTTTAAATTTTCTATTATTTATATTTTATTTCCCTCTCATTCTTAGCTTTTGCCTCTTGTGATTCCATGTGATTTTCGTATTATCTATTTTATTTATTTGTGCTATATTTTTTTTTTAGCATAAATTTGTTAGTGTTCTATTTTTTTAAATTGAAGGAAAATTCAATGTTGAATAAAGTTATAGATTTACGTTTTTCTTTATTTTAAAATCACATTTGTGTAAGTAATGTTGAAATTTGACATAAGAGTATTATATTAAATTTCTTTTCGAATTTAGAACTTATGTATTTTCATTTCATTTGTTTTAGTAGTATTGACTTCATTTTTCACATTGCAAGTTATTTTTTCTTTAATTAGACTTGATAAATTATCCTCTTGTCAAAAATTTATGACATTATATTTATAATATTGATCTTTTTGTAAGTATGTATTTTATGATGTGCATAGAAATCTTGTACTTTAAATTTTTATTATTAATTTAATTAATATATACTAATTTGAAAAACACAAATCAATTTTTTTTTATAATATTAGTTAAGAACTTGTGTCTGTTGATTAATATATTTTCAAAAGACAATATATATTTTAAACATTTAACTCAATATTATTTAAAAAAGTCTCTTATATGTCTAATATAAATTTATAATTTTAGATAATTAACTTTTATTCTTAAAATTTATTATAAGCTTATGATTGCAATTGTGCAACCAAACAATACATTTATAATTACACTTTAATTACACTATGACAAACAAACAGATCAATGGAATTACTACGCTACGTAATTGTTAGGACGGTAATTACAACCCTGGTAATTACATCAATTTCAATTATCTAAGTGTTTTCAAACGGACCCTTAGTGTTTTTGTTAGAATGACCATATTGCGCCACATTGAAAGAGGAGAAATGTCTCCAATTGGTAACACCTCACAAATTCTAAGCTAAGACCGAATCATTTCTCGTATGTGCGTAGATTCATATTTGAGGATTCTAATTTTTATATAGTTACTGAGGGAAATTTGTTAGTGTGTAAAGAGATTTGGAGATGAATTAAGGTTATAAGAACCCTCTAACACAAAGTTGAGTTGAAAGTTTCTTTAGCGGTTGCGTTTCTGTACATAATTTTACTTGGATTAACTATAACACCCCAAAAAAAAATTCAAACTAAGACTCAAACAATCCTTCATTGTGAGTAGGATTTTACCGAGCAAATTTGAATTTCTTGAGTGCTAAAGTCACTAGATGTAGCACCTAGAGTTCCAAGAAGAACTAAAGAGAGTTCATTCAAATCATTCCTAAGTTTCTTTAAGTTTTGGGTCAAATTCAAACAATATTAACTCTTATTACAAGATGAATTAGGTGGGCTACAAGGTACCCAATGAAAGGTCTTTGAATTATCTTTCCAACGCCACTGAGTTTGCTAAGTTTCAAGGTTGGATGAGTGATATATACCCTTTGGAAGTCAGGCTGTCCAAATAAGGAAAGTTACCCGAAAATAGTAAGGGGTATTTTGCTCTTTTCCTTACCCAATCAGATTTAATTCGTTTTTAGTAAGGTTTTAAGTGTCTAATCCTATTAGGTTAAATTTTATAATCCTAATATATGCCTAGGATTTTAGTTGAGAGTTCAAGAAGAGAAAAAGAAGAGAAAAGAGGAGAAAAGAGGAGAGGATCAAGGTGTTTGTCGAGGTTCTTGAGTTTTGTTGCGGATTTTCGCCATGGGTTTGATTCCTAAGAGGTATGTAAGCTTCCATAATGTTGGGTTTGTTCTTCCACACGGAAATTATGTTATTTTCATCGCAAATTTCATTCTTGAAGTTGAAGGATTAGAGTTCTTGATAAGTTTTCTTGAAGTTCATTCTAGATCTTGTTTTGTTGGGGTTTTGATGAATTCTTAAGATGAAAGTGAGTGTTTTGAGGGCTATATTGAGTGTATTAGAGTGTACTTATGTTGAGTAATCGAATCCAAGTTATTGGGGAAGAAACCGTTCGATTCTAGGCGAGTTAGGGTGAGAAAACGAGAAAAGAAATTTGTTGGGTTTTCTGGGTTGGGGCGTGGCACGCCGCGCCAGCCAGTGCGCCCCAAATTATGTTCTGTAGTTTAGGGGTTGGCGACCCACGTCACTCAGTGTGCCAGGGTCTTCTGCCCCGTCCAATTTGCAGTCGGTTACTCTGTTTGAGTTCTTTTAAAGTGTACCTTCACTCATTTTTTATTCTTAACACTCTAAACTACTTCTAAACACCTAGAAATCATTCATAAAATGAATAATAACCTTGAATTCATAATTCAACATTCAAGGTAGAGTTAAGAGTTAAGTCTTGAGAGTTCTTTTGAACACTCTAAGAAAGTCCCTTTGAGTCTTTTGAGGAGTCTTCTACAATTTCTAATAACTTGTTTCAAGACTCGAGCAAGTGAGTATGAGAGTGAGGAGAATGTATTCATGAATCTACTTTATCATCACGAGATCCTTCATATCATGAAACATAACTCTTGAATTCATAATTCACATTCAAGAGAGAGTTAAGAGTAGAGTTTCAAGAAAGTCTTTGATTTCAATTGTGAATCTGTTGTGATCAACTATCGATTTGAGATAAGTTTTGAGGAAGTAAGTATGAGATTTAGAAGATTCGTATACATAAGTTGCTTATTGATACTTTAGTCGTTGAGTCGAGTCGTTCATGCCCTTAACTTTCGCATGAACTCCATCAGTTGAGTACCTTTGAGAGGAGTAGTATCTTCAAGTTCTATGTCTTGAGTATTCAGCTCTTAACCCCTTTGAGATTATATTTCTAATCATGAGACTACTACATGTTACCCATGAAGCCCTTGAGTTGAGTTGTTCATTCCCAGAACTCCGCATGAACCCTATAAATCGAGCAGTCTTGAGATGAGAAGTATCTTTGAGTCCTTGAGTTGAGTAGTTCATGCTCATAACTCCGCATGAACCCTCTGAATTGAGCATTCTTGAAATGAGTAGTATTATTGAAGTTGTTGAGTTCCAAGTATTGAGTTCTATCCATGGTTATTGAAAACCTTGAATTGAGTCGTTCACGCCTATAATTCAGCATGAACCACATTTTAAGAAATCTTTTACAAATGCTTTAAACTTGAGTTTTGAGTTAAGTAAAGACTAAAGAGTGAAGTTCATTTCTTTAAAAGAGTATATGGGGACAACGTATTCCCAAAGAGTAAATGTTTTCATATTTAATCAAATCAAGAAAGGAAACACCAATTTCCAAAAGAGCCTTTGAGCTAGTTTTCAGTAAAGAGAAAATGCTTTCATATTTAAGAAATAGAGGAAACACTGATTTCCTAGAGAGCCTTTGTGCTAGTTTTGAACAATTATCTCAAACCACAGAAATAGTTATGTCTTTAAACATATGAGCTAGTTATATTTTCGGAGTAGTATTGAGCACC